AAGCTGCCCAGCTTTCCCCCTTGCAGATTTAGGGATGTACACAAATCAACCAAAAGCAAAAAGAAAGAGAACTAAGGAATTAGGTGTGCGCTGCATGAAAGAGGAAGCTGCTGCAGCTACAAGGCTACGCTACATGGGCGTTTCCTCAATCAACTGCAATGACTTGCTGGTTTCAGTGTCCTGTAGCCCGTCGAGTCGAGGCTGTACCATAGGTAGGATAGATTCGTAATTTTGTTGGCTGAGGGCTAACTGAGAGACCTACCTGTCAGGAAAATTTTTGAGGGACATATCTGTAAATTCGGGAAAATATAGGCCCGTACTAACTAAATTTCCTACAGCTACCTAACTGCATATAGCAGGCCCGGGTTACCCCTAGGACAGACAGGCCCTAAGGGCCTATGCTGATAGACGGTCCTATAGCCTATAGCCAGGTCGGTAGAGGCCGAAACTGAAACGGTACCGGTCGGTCCAGTCAGTCCGGTCTAGGTCTGTCTAGGACAGTGTAGTCTATAGATAGATTGTAGACATCGGTTCAGGGCTTTTGGCAGTTGGTACCGAGTACATCGCTGCTGTGCAACACGTGAACTGGAAGTGGTGACAGCTTCAGCGTTGGAGAAGACGGACATAGCTGGACCTGCGGAGTGTCGGCCATAGCTGGGACCAACGCTGGACTCTGACAGCACGCGGGGCTGGACAAAGGTCTGAGCTATCTGGAGTCTGCTGGAGGCGAGAGAAATTGGTGCCCTGCTGGACCCTCCTCAGGAGTAGGGTTTCAATGTGTTGGCGCTGCGGCCATAGCTGCAGCTTTCTTCCTCAGAGAGCATCTTTGTCAGGAGAGGTGGCGCTGCTGCAGACTTCCACCTGGGAAGTCATCTGGCACTTCATCATCATCAGACACTGTGGCGCTGGTCTTCTTCTTCATCCTCTGAGAGGCGCTTGGCCTCAGAGGCCAGTTTCAGTGCGGCGCTTCCCTCTGGAGGCAGTATCTGGGTGGCGCTTGATGTTTCAGGGACTCAGGGGTAGTTCTAGCGGTTACGGGTTGGAGAGTGAAGCGCTGCTCATTTCTGAGCAGCGCACCATAGTTCTGGGGTTATTGTGACAATTCGAAACTCTGAGTTTAATAAACAGTGTTAATACTGTGTGTGAACTATCGGTGCTTCATTGTTTCCTGGATGTGATCTACTCGGCTTTCCTTTGTGACTGGTTGTGAGGATTCTGTGGAGCAAAGTGCACTTTCAGTGTTCTCTGTCATATCGCATGGTCAAGTCTTCCGCTGTGTTTCTCTCTCCCTGTGCGGTGTGATACTCACATCCTCTCCCCTTCCTTCTGTGTATGTATGGGCATACCTGGAAGTCTATGTGAGCGAGTGTTGGTCTTCTGACAACAAACAACCAGGTTCATAACACAACTATGAAAGGGGGGGGAACAAAAAGCAAGGATTACACAAAACTCTCAGTGGAAAAGAAAAACACCCATGCTTGGGGGAATGGTTCATTGCAAAACAGAAAAACTGAAAAAAGGCGTCCTCCTGGACATCCGTTAAAATTGGAACAATACGGAGAAGATTTTTTTTTTCCCCTTCTTATAGAAACTACACTATATTCTTCTCCCAGATTCTTTAACCTTTCACTACGTACCTCCCACCAGGGTTGTCGCGCAGGAGTCCTAAGGCCCCGAGCCGGGGTAGGGGTTTCAACCCCGGAACCCCGCCGCGGGGATCTCCGACCCCTGTCTCTTATACACATCTAGATGTGTATAAGAGACAGGCCCTCACCACCACACATCCCCAGCCCCCACCAGCTGTTGGCATCGGCCCTGGCCCCACACCCAGGGCCACCCTGGTCCCGACAGTGGTGGGTGTGGGCCCGGGGCAGGTCCAAGGTGGGGCACAAAACCCCATTTTTCGGGGTTTGCCCACGGGGTGCACGCTCTCGCTGCGCACCCGCAACTTGTTTTTTTTTTTTTTGGGCGGTCCAGACCTGGGTCCAGGGGTACCCAACCCCGGACCCCTGAACCCCCGTCGGGGCCCCCAGGCCGGGGGTCGACAACACTGCCTACCACTACTCCCAAGGGCTATATAGAGGGGACCCCTTCAAGCATAGCTACCTCTCACAGTGAAGGGGTTATTGCATGTTGCCCCTTGCCCTAATCGTTCAGGGCGGAACTTCAGGGTGCAGAGTTGGGGCCGCCAGTAGGGGTCCAGCTAACGCAAAGACCGAGCATTTTGCCCAGTAGCTGCACCTCCTTTTCATGGTCCCTCACCCCCTATTGAGTAGCAGCAGTGTCTAAGGCCAACACTCTCCCACACACCACACACAACTCACTCACCAAAGACCCTACTAATACTGATCAGAGGTATCAAGTGGACTACCACAGCTGGTTGGCGCTAAGTGCGCCACCGGCGGTCATGGGGCTCGAACCCACAACCTCCTGAATGCCACTTGCATGCCTGACCAACTGAGCTAGGATACAGAGAAGATTAGCGTAGCCCCTGTGCGATGTGAGGATTCTACCCCTCGCATACCGGCAAAATGCCCTGCAGCATGCGCGTGCCCACCCTAAGTGAAGGTGGGCCCCCGTGAATCTCAATGAGCCCTGAACTCGTCAATTTATGCAAATCTTGGTGGGCGCCAGACAGTTGCCACGTGCCAGTTGGTTACATCCGCCTTGCTCATGAGAATCGGAAATATTTGTGAGCCTTCCAGGCTCATCCAGCAATGTGGTTGAAGCAGGAAGCACCGCACGTTTGTGCCTGGGTGGTTGGGCATGCCTAACCAATTCAGTTCCAGGCCACTGTCTGAACGGGCCTGGGCGCAGACACTTTGGCCGAGACTGAAGCTACTGGAAACTCGGTCTCACGGAGCAAGCAAGTGGCAATGCGCCCGCCGCTTTCCATATAGGAAAGGGCCGGGCTCCGTGAGAGATAGTCGGGCACTTGTGTAGTTGAGCGGCAGCGCTGCTGGAGCGTGTGCTCATGGGCTGCCTGCTTAGCGCTAGGGGCAAGTGTGCATGCGCGTGCGGTCGTGCGAGAGGTAGGGCGCCGCTGAGGGCAGCGCCATAGCCAGGGCTTCGCTTGGACATAGCTAGTGGGGGTGGTGGTGGTCTTCGTGTATGGGGAGGAAGACGTGGGTAAAGAAGACGAGGGAGAGAGAGAGAGAGAGATGAGGATGATGATGTGAGGGCACGTACCTGGTCTTGGCGATGGTTTACAGGGTCGACATCGTCATGTACTTCGGTTGTTGCTGCTGACGTCAACAGGTTGCATTGTCAATTCGTAGGCTAATAGTAGCTGTGTGATCATAGTCTGGGCGCTGAGCGCCAAGTAGGAAGAAGGGCTCTGGATACATATGTTGGCGGTGGCGAGTCAATGGTCTCATTGACATTCGGATTCAGTGCTTTGGTTCTCCTTTGGTGGAATGTCAGTGCATTTCTGCTTTCTGGACAGCGTTGGACTTTCCAGATTTCAATGTGATTTTGCATTCTGGATTTCTGTCATTTCGCTGTCGCTCACTTCCCTTGCAGCAAGGAAAAAAAAAAAAAAAAAAAAAAAAAAACACAGAAGGTTAAGAAGATGCTTGACAATATCAGTGTTTCTCGGAAAGAGAGTGGGAAAACTCTTACCAGTGGTGTCAACCAGATCCCCTTCCTTTTGCGTATCCTTCTCTTTCTCCACTTGTCCCTTTTCTCCCAACTCTTCCTTCGCTTCCTCACCCATTTCCCCATCATCACCCTCGTCCTCTTCACGGATGGGCATGTTTTCTAACGAATCAGACAGCCCAGACGGCCCTTTCACACAATGTATGTTCCATGAATTATCCGATATGAAAAGCTGTGGTGGTGAGTTCTTCAATGGCTTTTTCCCATTCAGTGCCATGATCTGATCCGCTGTGGAATCGAGCCAAGCCTGCCACACACCTTAGATCAACCACGGACCAGTCACAATCATTCCGACGCCTTATCGGCACATTTTGCGCACCATTTGACATTCCCGGAATAGTGACCCAATCACAACTACACCTTACAACTTCACAGGGCTTGCCATCCAATCATTTGCCCGCTCGAGCACGGCCTTGCCAAAAGGTTACCGCATTGAGTGGAAACTGTGTAGGCACCCACCCTCTCTCCCCTCATCACACCCGCGCACCATATCTGTCCCTTTCCAGTCAGGCCACGTTCTGCACTCTAACCAGCAACGCCGCCTTTTGCATGAGGCCAAAACGCGAATCAGAGAGTGGTCGCATTGGCAGTGCATATGTGCCGTGTATCATGGACCATCTCTGCAGTCGTATGGCACATAGTGATAGCACCATTCTCTTCTTCAAGTAGAATCCAAGACAGTTCTGAAAAAAATTGGGAGGCTATCGTTGGTCGGAGAGATCCATCATGCCATAAGCCAAGCAAGCTTTAGGATGCAAACAATGTTCCAAGTCCAGAGAAAATAGCAAGTCTTTCCCATGCCTCTCCCACAGCCTCTGTAATGGTATGCACGTAGCACGTCCATGGACCCCCATACGACGTCTTGGCCATCCAACTGCTTCGCATTGCACCATGTTATCGATGCTACTAACTTCCCCAAGGAGGCTCTACACCATCCATTCTGTGCCTCAAAGGCAGTGCACACGCACACACACACACACACACACACACACACACACACACACACACACACACACACACACACACACACACACACACACACACTCCTGCGTAGCTCTCAAACTTATTTCAACAAGGTGAAACCTTGTAAGGCTTCCATCCCTGCTGTATGCCACAGGCACAGGTTTGTGTAGATATCCGAGATTATTTCAGCAAGGTGAACTGTGTCACGGTATGCCTCCCGTCCCAGCATTTGCCACCTCCGCAGACATCGGACACTCCTTCCTTCCATCAGACAGACGTTCACCTGCCCAGCCGTGCAACTCAGTTGTTAGTACTCGTTACTTCAAATGCCTGCGCAACTTTCTTACGCCTTTCCGCACGCAGCCTTTACAGATTCCATTCCATCTCATTCCTTCACTTCAACCTCTGGTTTCTTCCTCCATTCACTGGGCCACCTTCACAGGCATGATTTTTAATCTCCTTTCCTCACACAGACACTTGGCCAAGACATCAGTGTGCTAAGTAAAAAAGAAAAAAGAAAAAAGAAAAAAAAAGACGACGTCAGTGTGCAACCTTCACATACATTGTTACATCTCCTCCCCTCCAACAGACTCTAACCATAGACATCAAAGCCTAGGGGTTTACTCTATGACCATGTTTACCCTGCGCCAGGGTTTTCCGTAAGGGGGCAGTCTCATTACCACATTAGGAAACCTATCATATTTGCATCATCTTATGTACCTTAGGCCATACTCACTTTCTTGGATGTATCTAATGGATTCTAACCGCTTCTACAGCGATGATGGATGTATCTGAAGGCAATTACATCCAGCGATCAGATTAGATAGAAGTCTTATTCTGAGTATGCCCTTAGCCCATCTCTTACTCTTCTACGTGACAAACACACCTATGCCGGAAGTGGTCTGCAGTTTCTGCCTTGCAAATCGACTTTAAGCCGCCAGTACTTGGCCCAGCTATTGGCTGCGGGGAAAAGTAGAGTAGAAACGTTTGTAGTTGGATGAATTTGGGCGCTCCTGTAGTGCCCCATACGTTTCCTAGAATCGTGGCTTGTTAACGGGCACGACTTTAGGGAGTACTGGTGGTTTAAGGTTGACAGTCGAAAGGTGAAAGTGGAGAGTCAAAAGTCGAAAAATTTTGCTCAGAAACGAGTAGCACCAAGAACGTAAAAATTTCACAGAACCACAAGTCCGCTTCAGCACTTTCGATGCCCACTCTGCGACCGACAAGCGGATCGAGTGACGCTCTCCCCAGCGATCAACCACATCATCTACATATGCACTGAGCTCCCTGATAACTTAACTATACCCTCTTATTAAACGGGATCCCTGGCACATGATCTGTTGCCAGATGTTTATCCTAGCGCCATAGCGGCGCCGCAGTGCGTATAGGCATGTGTGCCAAGTTGCAATCGCCCTGCACAGCTCTGGTCCTTGAGTCCTCTTTGCGATTCCGCCCAAGGTTGTGCTCATACTGCAGTCACCTCCTCCTCCCTGCACAGTATTTATTACAGGCACATTCACAAGAGCAATTTCAAAGAATATATGCCACCAGAGGTCAGCAGTGCCAAGAGAGACAAACTGCCAGGCCAGCAGATGTCATATCAGCAACTGGCAGGTCAGCAGCAGTTTCTAGGGTCAAAGTCTCATGTTTGGACTGCAAACACGCATGCACTTACAACCTGCTTCCTAGAGACTGATGACTCATAAGCCTGATTTCTCAATGGAACTAACTAAGGCATGCATAACGGGAAGGGGATTTCTTTATGGAGGGAGGAGGGGGAAGGTGCAAGGAACCCAGTCAGAAAAATCTGCACAGAAAAGGCCTAGCTAGGGTCGTATCTTTTTGTCCAAGCCCAGGACCAGAGGTCAAAAGTCGTGTCTCCGACCCAAGAAGGGCTTCAGAAAGTCCATGGGTGAATAGTCTAGGGTCGTAGCCTTTGGTCCAATTCTAGGATCAGGGGTCAAAAGTAGTATCTCCAGCCCACGAAGGGTCTCAGAAAGCCCATTAGTGAATAGGTAGCAAATCAAGGGTCAAACAAGGCACCTGGTGCCCCTGAAAACCGGGCCTAGCTCAGTTCGTGCACCCATGAACTGTTGAAATACAGACCCAAGTTCGAATCCAGATCAGAGAAGAGGAGGGGGGCAGAGGAGAACATGGTGGTTGACCTCAGAAAATTCACTGGTCAGGCCCAACTTGGGAAAAGCAGACAAGGATTCAAATATTTCTTGGGAAAAGCAGACAAAGAGTCAAGAGAAAGTATAACTTTAGGAAAAGAGTACCTGTATGGCAGAAACTTTTTATTTTTCATGTTGTACGCAACTCACTCTTCTTTATGTGGTTGTCTGAAGCAATTAACTTAGATTCATGGGTTTCAGTCAATGAATAACTGTCTTGATGCCAGCTGTGGCTGATTTCATTTATCATGCAAGAGTTGAATAATAACGGGAGTTGAACCCTTCTTTTCAAATTCACAATCTGACATTTTTAAATGATTTTTTTGACCTATCAAGTTACATTCGCCGCAATCTGGGTGGGTGGTCTCGACTCACTCGAACCCGACAAAGTGTCTTAGTCTGTCGTTTGCTTGAGTGGACCAGGCAGAAGGGCGATGCTGTCGTGTCCTATTGGATGTCACAGTTTCTACTTGCACATTGTGTCCTCTGCGAGAGCGAAGCCTCACGCACTGTGCTACTTTTCTACGTGAAGTGTGCCGTCGTTTTTACCATTTTCACCAAGGAGAAAAATGTGCACTATTGGACTTGAACCAATAACCTGTAGGAACAGATCCATCTTTTTTTTTTTTTTTTTAACAGAACCTTAGGGTTCTGGCTCCTTTTCGATTCTGGGGAGCGTCAGTCCGGTTCTTATGCCCCCGGCAAGTCAGAAAAACAGCATGCGCACTAACGCACACTCCTCCCCTTTCTGGTGTGGAGGCCCAAAAAATGACATTGATTGCTTCCCTAGGGAAGGGTGTACCATTCGTTCACCCCTGCCTAAGTTAGCCTGTGTTGTTGTGCTGTTGTACTTGTATGCTATTCTATTTACT